TGTGTGCGGGAGGTGGCAGGGAGCCTGGTCCCAGTGTAGCTCTGAGAACGTCGATGGGGAGGCATGACAGGGCCGACGAGCCGATTTCTCGGGTCTCCTCCTCCCTGCAGCAGTGGCTGGGACCACGCCCCTCACACCTGCAGTGACCTCTTGTGAGCATCTTCTGTGTGCCAGGTGCTGCCTCCAGCTCTGGGCATTCAAGTTACCCGGCACTGCACCTCCCAGAGAGGGGCTTTGTTTGGTGTCTCTGCTCTCTGCCCCGTCTGCCTTTTGCATCAGGAATGGTGCACGTGATCGAGTCCCCCCCTTCCCCACCTGGGTTACAGAATGAACAAGATCCTTCCATGTTCCCTGAGGAGCTTAGAGCATCATCACATAAAACCTCCATGTAGACAGATAACCAGACAAATGACAAAGGTGAGTTTTAAAAAGATTTATGTATTTGAAAGGCAGAACTACACAGACGAGGTTTGCGGGGAGAGATAGTCCAACTGCTGGTTCACTCCCCAAGTTGCCATAATAGCCATGGTTGGGCCAGGATGCAGCAGGAGCCAGGAACTCCATCTGGGTCTCCCACATGGATGGCAGGGGCCCAAGACAGAGACAGAGACAGAGACAGAGAGAGAGAAAGAGAGAAAAAGAGAGAGAGAGAGAGAGATCTTTCATCTGCTGGTTTCCTCCCCAGATGACTACAAAGTCAGGAGCCAGGAGCTTCATTCATGTCTCCCACATGGGTGCAGGGGCCCAAGGACTTGAGCCATCCTCTGCTGCTTTTCCCAGGCCATTAGCAGGGAGCTGCATCAGAAGTGGAGCAGCCAGGACACGAACCGGGCACCCATATGGGATGCCGGCGCTGCAGGCAGTGGCTTTACCCGCTGTGCCACAGTGGCGGCCCTTTTTGAGCCTCTTTCCCACTATGTTTTAGTGACTCCCAAGAGCAGAGAGAGGGCATTTCTTGGCCCCTGGGGCTGAAAGACAGGCAGAGGCGATTGGAGCGCTCTCTCCGCCTCTCGGCTCAGCTTCCCTCAGTGCTGGCTGCACCCCGCGGGTTGTCTCCCTGCGGGAACTGACGGCCGCAGCCGCTCCAGCCTTGCACACCCCTCACTGCCACTTTCCCTGGGGTTCAGCAAGAGTCCTGCAAAGGGCTTGCGCTGGCCCTCTAAGAACCAACTATTGTAGACAGCAAAATGGGATGCTGTGATTGGCTGGGTGTTGGGGACCCTGCCCACACCTGGGGCCCATGGTGGCTTCAACTCTCCTCAAAGCACTGGAACAAGGTTTAAGGGGGGGCGGGTGTGGTCTCCTGCAAGGAAAATGAGGTTGTAATTTTCCAAAAAAGTGGGGGAAGAGCTGCTGGATAGGTCAAAATAGCTGTTTCACCAGAATTACTCAATTGAAGAATTGTGAGACGTCCTTTAGCACCAACATTCTCATTGTACCACCGGCTGCTTGCCCTCTGCCTGGCCCCTCCCCTTGCACACCCTACGGTAGCTGTAGCTGTTTGACTTCCATCGGTGCGGCTGTGGTCCTGAGCCCCGTGCCTGCCTGCCTGCCCTGTCTTGTCTGTAGCATGTCTTTATGCTACCCGGTTCCCCACTCAGCCCCTCAGGGGCAGGGCCCGTTTCTCTGAAAAAGAATTCTCCCAGCGGGATGTTGAATTCACCAGCTTCTGCATCCTCGTGCTGGGCTCTTCCCAATAGCTGGGGTATCCTCCTATGTAGTGGTGGACTTCCTGCCATCTTGGACGTTATCATCTACCCATGATCCACCCACCCATGAATCCGTTCACCCTCTCATCTAGAACCCATTTACCCATCCACCCAACCACACATCCACTCGATGTCTACCCACCTACCCAACCACCAACCGTGAATCCACCCACCCATCAGAGCGTATTGGGAACTAGGGATTCAGTTGAGAAAAAGAGCAGATCTTCTGTCAGTAATGTCACTAACTTTTATTCATTGGAAAGCTGTCTGTTCCTTCCCTTCCCCTGAAATTTCTGTTCAAGTCCTTTGCTCATTTTCTATTTCCACTAGCTAAAAAAAATTCACTACAGTGAGCATTCTTTGCCTGTTTTATGCCCTAGGGTAGCTTCAGCATATAGCACAGTGCTTGGCATCCAACTCCCCTCAAAGGTGCCTGCTGTAACTGAGTAATGGGATGCCAGTGTCGCTAGCAGTGTCTTACCTGGCTGTGCCACAGCGCTGGCCCCAGGGTATAATTTGCATAACATAAAAGTCACCTTTTTGAAGTATGCACATCAATGGTTTTTAGTATCTTCGCCATGTGGGATACTATGTAATTCTGGAATATTTTCAGAGAAACTTCATCACTGTTAGCAGTTAGTCCTAATCCTGGCTCTACCCATCTCCTGAGAACACTCTGCTATTTTCTGTCTCTCTGGGTTTGCCTGTTCAGGACCTTTTTCTTTTCTTTTCTTTTAAAATTTATTTACTTATTTATTTGAAAGTCAGAGTTACACAGAGAGAGAAGGAGAGGCAGAGAGAGAGAGAGAGAGAGAGAGAGAGAGGTCTTCCATCTGCTGGTTCACACCCCAAATGACCACAACGGTCAGAGCTGCGCTGATCCGAAGCCAGGAGCCAGAAGCCTACTACGGGTCTTCCTACATAGGTGCAGGGGCCCAAGGACCTGGGTCATCTTCCACTGCCTTCCCAGGCCATAGCAGAGAGCTGGATCAGAAAAGGAGCAGCCGGGACTAGAACTGGCGCCCGTATGGGATGCCGGCGCTGCAAGTGGAGGATTAACCTACTGTGCCACAGTGCCGGCATATCCAGACCCTTTTATGAGGATACTTTGAAAATTTGTGGGGGCCAAAGCCAGGAGGTGAAAACTCTACCCAGTCTCCCTTGTGGGTGGCAGGAATCCAACCACTTGAGCCATCACCTGCTGCCTCCCAGTGTCTGCATTAGCAGGAAGCTGGAATTAGGATCCAGAACCAGGAGTGAACTGGGCACTCTGATGTGGGATTCAGGCATCCTAGCCAGTGTCTTAACCACCAGGCCAAAGCCCATCCATAACCTTTTCTCTATAAAAAAAGATTAATGTATTTATTTATTTACTTGAAAGAGTGACAGAGGGGGAGAGAGAGAGAGAGAGAGAGAGAGAGAGATCTTTCATCCACTGGTCCACTTTTCCAAATGCCCACGACAGCCAGGTCTGGGCCAGGCCAAAGCCAGGAGCCAGGAACCCCATCCTGGTCTCCCTCATGGGTGCAGGGGGCTAAACACTTGGGCCATCTTCTGCTGCCTTCCCAGGTCATGGTCAGGGAGCTGGAATCAGGATGCTGAATTTGCAAGTGGAGGCTTAACAAGCTATGTCACAACACTAGCCTCCCAGAACCTATCATGTAATACCATTTTTAAAAAAGATTTATTTATTTATTTGAAAGACAGATTTACAGAGAGAGAAGGAGAGATAGAGAGAGGGCTTCCATCCTCTGGTTCACTCCTCAAATGGCCACAATGACTGGAGCTTGGCCGATCTGAAGCCAGAAGCCAAGAGCTTCATCCAGGTCTCCCACATGGGTGCAGGAGTCCAAGCACTTGGGCCCTATTCCACTGCTTTCCCAGGTGCATTAGCAGGGAGCGGGATCAGAAGTGGAGCAGCCGGGGCTTGAACAGGCATCCATATGGGATGGCAGCATTGTAGGCCATGGCTTAACCCGACTACAACGGTGACCCTGTGTGGTTCCATTTTCCACAAACTTTTTGAAGTACCCTTGTATGTTCTATAATTTTTTTTTTGACAGGCAGAGTGGACAGTGAGAGAGAGAGAGACAGAGAGAAAGGTCTTTCTTTGCCGTTGGTTCACCCTCCAATGGCCACCGCGGCCTGCGCGCTGCGGCCGGTGTACCACGCTGATCCGAAGGCAGGAGCCAGGTGCTTCTCCTGGTCTCCCATGGGGTTCAGGGCCCAAGCACTTGGGCCATCCTCCACTGCACTCCCGGGCCATAGCAGAGAGCTGGCCTGGAAGAGGAACAACCAGGACAGAATCCGGTGCCCCGACCGGGACTAGAACCCAGTGTGCTGGCGCCACAGGCAGAGGATTAGCCTATTGAGCTGCGGTGCCAGCCATGTTCTATAATGTTTTAAAGATTGTTTCGTCTATCCAGCTTTTTGCCATGACCTGGGAAAGCAGTAAAAGGTGGCCCAAGTCCTTGGGCCCCTGTACCCGCATGGGAGACCTGGAAAAAGCTCCTGACCTCTAACTTCTGATTGGACCAGCCATGGCCATTGCAGCCATTGGGGAGTGAACCAGCAGATGGAAGACCTCTCTCCCTCTCCCTCTCCCTCTCCCTCTCCCTCTCCCTCTCCTTCTCTCTCTGTGTAATTCTGATTTTCAAATAAATAAATAAATCTTTAGAGAAAATGTTTGCTTTGTCTAGATCTTACAATTTTCCTTTAATTTATTCCTAGGTTTTAATCATATTTATTATTACGAATCATTCAAAGCCTGGCAGCTAACAAACATGTTTAAAATACTGTGTAAGGTGAAGTAGTTCCAACCGTGTCGTGTTCCAAATTCAGGTCAGGTTCAGCTCTGCAGCTTTGATCTACTCCTGCTCTTCGCTTTGTAGATAAGGAAGCCCAAGTGTAGAGCTGTTGTCGACTTACCCAAGTCACAGCAAGTATGTGACAGGCAGAGACGCCCCGGAGCCCAAGGGGTCTATCCCTGTGTTCAGCCTGACTTCGAGCCCACAGCTCTTTCCTCTGGCCACCCTCCACAAAATAAGCCAGGGCCCAGGCAAACAGCGACTCTCCTCACCTGCACTGGGGCTTCGAACTCACCGAGGGACCCACACGGGTGATCAAGACAGGAATTAGATCAAAACTGGCAAAGAATTGGGGGAGGGAGGCAGGAGGCACAGAAAACAATGGCCAATTGAGAGAATGGGCACAATTCAGACAAAGTGGTGCACACACCAACACCCCAAACCCTCAAACCTCCAGCGCTTCCTGCCTGTGAGCCCAGAGGAGGAGTGCGTGCTGCTGGGCCCCCGCGGGCAGGTGCAGGTCCTCCCCTTCCTGACGAGGCAGCCGCAGCACAAAGAGCAGAGTCTGTTTCTCGTGGTCGCCGTCCCAGCCGCGGCTGCCTCGGTCCCTGGCCCTGGCACCACCTGGGGGGCAAGGACACGATGAAGTGGAAGGTTCTGGTCATCGCGGCCGTGCTGAAGGCCCAGTTCCCCGTTACAGGTAAGTCCCGGGCGAAGATTGGGGGCCGGGGGCAGGCGATGGCAGGGAATGCTCAGAAACTCTATGTGTGTGTTCGTGTGTGTGTGTTTGTGTGTGTGTGTGTAGGAGTCGGGAGGAAATGCTGTCTCTCCAAATCCTGGCGGGCCCTGGGCAGGCATCTGTTGCATTGCAGCCAAGCTGGGCATCAGTTCTGAGCCTGCTGCTGAAAACACAGCTGCCCACGGCGTGGAGTGCTCCCTGGACAGAGGAGAGACACAAAGCCTGTGTAGCCAGGCTGGCGGGTGTGTGTGGAGGGAGGTCAGAGGAGACTGGAGAGGAAGAAGGCGGAAGAGCAACGGAGGCAGGCCCGGCGGGGAGCATTTAACAGGAGCCGGGCGGGCGGGAGGCGGCGGGAGCTGGGCTGTGTCCCACCCTGCGACTGTCTCCTGGCCTCCAGGTGTCCCAGCCTCCCCTCTGGGCTGGTACTGCCACTCTGCCCTCTCCTTCCTCCTCTGCCCACTGGAACATCGCCCTGGTCACTCAGACAGCGCCATGGCCAGTAGCCCTGGCTGCCCTGAAACACCCGATGGCCTCGGGGATGTCATATTTGTCAGCTCAGGCGGGAAGTGGCGTGTGTCGTCAGAAGCACAGATAGGCAGCCAGCCCAGGGTGCTGCGCCAACCCCGGCCCGAGCGATCCGTTCCCGGGTCGGCCTGTCTCCGCTGCCCCGGTGACCCAGGGCTGTCCGTGAACGCACGCATCCCAGGCCAGCAAAGCTATCAAGGGCAGGAGGAAGGGTCCATACTTGGGCCCTCCCCTCCCCCCACCCCCACCACCTGCCCTTGTAGAGCTTTGCTGGGTGTAGGCTTTGGCTTGGTAACGAGGCTGGGTAGGCAGGAGAGGCCCGTGGCGCTTCTGTCCCTACTCCTCTCACCCTGCTCACTTGGCCTTTGAGAAACCAAGTATGGTGGGTTTTTCTGTAAGATCACAGCCATGTTCTTGGCAAGGCTGGGTGGGGGTGAGTCACCCGCCCGGCCTTGTCGGGGTGGGGAGGGCGCCAGGGCAAGCCCAGAGCAGCCGTCACATGTGCAGGGGCCCTGAGACTCCAGACCAACTGGGAACCCTGGGATTTCAGGCGGACCCAGCTGAGGCCAAGAGCTGCAGACTCGGGGCCTCGGGCCTGGGAGGCTGCCCGGGGTTGGGTCGGGGGAGACCTTTGGGCTCTGCAGGGATCTTCCTCTCAGCCTCCTCCCCCATCCGTCTGTCAGCAGTGGGCTCTGGAGCTTCCGGGGCAGGGGCAGGGTGAGGTTGGGCGAGAACCTCCGAGGAGCGGGGACTGTCAGCTGGCCCACAAGGAGGGGCCGTGGTGCACTTGCCCATGCAAAGGAGGAATGGAAGATGGATTGGCGTTTTTGCCGGGTGGGCCTGTGCGTGTTGCCTGTGGAAGTTGAGCACGTGTGGGCTGACAGCGACACACAGCAGTTTTCCCGAGTGTCACAAATGAGGCGAGAGAAGGCCAGGGGGCCACACGGTAGGGGGAGGGGGCAACGTGTGCTCTAGGGGCCTCCCCTACCCCTCACTGACAGGGTTTGGCCAAGGCCTGCTCCCTCTTCTTGCTCAAGCAACCCAACCCTCAAACTCTTCAAAGACCTCTCCGTTATAACTAGGTCTTTTTTCATTTGCATTTCTTTGGTCCACAGGAGTGGCCAAGACGGTGCCTGGGGCCTGAGGCTGGAAGAAGCTAAGATGGCGCCCTCAGCCCCTCATTGGTGCCCTGCCCGGGCACTAAGGCACCCCGTGGCCGCAGTGGCCTGTGTCCTTTCTCCAGGGAGGATGGGCAGCTCCGGCACAAAGCCTCAGGAAGCCCGGGGCTGTGAGTGGCTCAGCTGTTAGGAAGCATCGCGCTCAGCTGGGCACGGTGGGAAGAGCCCATCATGGATGGAGCCCCAGTGCTGTCACTTCCTTGCTGTGCAGCCTTAGGCTTTACTCACCCTCTCTGTGCCTCACGTCTAAAGCAAGGCTAAGATACCTCATTTGCTGAGAGGTGAAGATAGGACAAGAACATAGCGTTCCCAACACAGAGGCGACAGCTAATAAATCCAAGTGGTGTTGATTAGCACACCCTGGGCTGTCGTCTTGTTCTCAAAACCCAAGGACAGGAGATGGAAGCCCTTGGCTGGGGTTCTTAGTGTGCTCTCCACGCTGCGGCCTGTTCTCAGCTCGGTGAAATCCAACCCGTCCCGGTCCCATCTGGCTGGGGGCTCAAGGTTTCTGGTGGTCAGAGGGTGGGCATTCCTCCCACCATCTCCTGGTGCTTCTAATGCTTACCCTGTATGCTAGTATTCCCCAAAGTGCAAGCATGTCCGAGAAAGGTGTGATTCGGGCAGTGGAGGGGGAAGAAGTTAGAAGCAAAGTCCACCTGCTCGTCAGTGAGCAGGCTGGCTGCCCAGCTTCAGAGGCCAAAAAAGTGGGTGCAGGTCCCCCAGTGACCGGGCGTTTCAAGAAAGCGTCTTGCGCACCAACTCTTTGCTAAAAACTCCTGGGAGGTGGACTCCATGCCCGTAACAAGTTTTCCATCAGCGGCGTCTTCACCTCGGTTTGGTTTACCCTCTGGTCTCCAGGCTCTGCTGGTCCAAGTGAGCTGCCTGTGTCTCCTGCCTTGTCATTTCTCAGACTTGCTGGCCAAGGGGTGACACCTGCTGCCCCAGGAGCAGCCCTGGGGAGCCCTGGCATGGGGAATCGCCTCGGCTGTGCTCATTTAAACGACCCTTTCATTTTTGCTTTTGTTCTTTCGAGACAGATGGAGTGTTTCTTGGACATACACGCTCCCAAAGTCACCCAGTGCCGCACCTTGTAGCTTATCTAGTAGGGTCCCGGCACTTGGAAGGGAAGCCCGTTTCTCCTGAGCTTTATCTATGAATTAGCTCGTCCAGGAGATCCACACCAGAAACAGTTCAAACAAATTTCTCAGCTCTGCTTGGGCCGAGGCTGGTTCTTGCCGACATCACAGGCCATGGTGTATTTAGTCAATATGATGAAATGTTCGATGTGCTTAAGAAATTCATTAGACCAGTCATTTGACCTGGTAGTGCAAACCAAATGGTCACTCTTGCCACTGCATGTACACGGCCATGTGTTCCAGCATTAAAAAAAAAAAAAAAAAATAACTGAATGCAACACAACTTTTGAGTTCCCTGCGGGAGAAGCACCTGTGTTGTGTCCCTAACCCTTAGCAGAGTCAATGTGCCATCGGGGTCGGTTAGTGTTTGTTGAATGAATTAAAAGGTGGGTGAGTGAAGGCAATCAAGGTGGGTCACTGTGATTAGATTAACTTTAGCGGTTTACTTTGGGGGATGTATGGGTCTGGCATTGTTTGAACTTAACCTCAAGAGAACTTAGTATTAAAGAATACCTTTAAAAAGCAGGACAAGAACTAGCCATTATAGAGCAGAGAGGCTGGGGTAGTGTGCTTGCATAGAATCGCTCAAACGGAGTTGCAAGGCTGGACCGAGATAAAATCCTGCCGTTATTTTCTGGTTGGGCCATATGACATTCACTCTATTTGCTTATTTTGGGCCTACAAAAAAAAATAAGATAATTTCAAGTGGTTCAACTAACAAATGTCTCAAAAATAAAGATACTCATTTGTCTTATTTGGCTTTAACACTAGGTCAGAGTTTTAAGTAAGGCTGTCAGCACTGGAAATCATTGACTAACAAATCAATAAACTAATGCAAGTCACCAAGGCAGAAAAAAGAAGACTTTGTGGATTCCGACATAAATTCTAATACCTAATAATTCAATCACCTGAAAATACGAAAAGAAAAGAAAAAGCAGCCTATTTAACTGTGATAGTATTGTTTGATGTAGGTTACTGAAGATGTATCTCAAGTAGATGTCATTTTTTCCCTCTTAATTTGAGGCATTTTAACAAAAATAAAATCATTGAAGGAAGTTAAATTTTTTTTAAAAAATGTATAACAAGCTAGCTCAATAACTCCATTTTTATTTCTTTAGATTCTATTTAAACTTTTTTATAAGTACATGCATTTATTTTTTATTTTTTTAAGATTTATTTATTTATTTGAAAGGCAGAGTTACAGAGAGGCAGAAACAGAGAGAGAGAGGTCTTCCATCCACTGATTCATTCTCCAGAAGCCCACAATAGCTGGAGCTGAGCCAATCTGAAGCCAGGAGCCAGGAGCTTCACCCAGGTCTCCCACATGGGTGCAGGGGCCCAAGCACATAGACCATCTTCTACTGCTTTCCCAGGCCATAGCAGAGAGCTGGATCGGAAGTGGAGCAGCCGGGACTTGAACTGGTGCCCATATGGAATGCGGCTCTGCAGGAGGCAGCTTTCCCCGCTATGCCACAGTGCCTGCTCTAGTACACGCATTTCTTTAAAGATTTATTTATTTTATTTGAAAGGCAGAGTTAGAGAGAAAGAAATCTTCCATGCTGGCTCACCCCCTAAATGGCTGAAACAGCTGGAGCTAGGCCAGACTGAAGCCAGGAGCCAGGAGCATCTTCCAGGTCTCTCACATGGGTGGCAAGTACTTGGGCCATCTTCCACTGCTCTTCCAGGTGCATTAGCAGAGAGCTGGATTGGAAATGGAGCAACCAGGACTCGAACCAGTGCCCACATGGAATGCTGATCACAGGTGGCAGCTTAACCCACTATGCCACAGCGTGGGTCCCAAGTACATGCATTCCTTTATATAGTTGTTAGCATACAAAACAATTTCATATGCTTTTTTCTGAATATTTTATTGGAAGCACTGTTTCTCACGCTTGGCCTCCGTGAAGTTTTTCGTTGCTATGCAAACTTCCCGTGTTTTCATCACGATGTTCTTATCGTTGGTCATTTAAACTACTGCTAGTGTTTGTTATTATAACTAACCCTGCTGGCCAATCTTTCCATATGTAGCTTTCGTTCCTTCCTTGGACAAATCTAGGATGGAGGATTGAAAGGACAGTTAAAGTAAAAGAGCATTTCGCAGGATGCTCTAGACTTCTGTTGA